GTTCAGCATCTTAGCTGTGGAGGGCAGTGTCACTGGCCCTCATATGTGGGATCCGAACCGGGGCCCTCTGGCGTCCCAAGCCAGCTCTTAACCATCGCGACACTCGGCCGGCCCACAGACATCCGTTTTTGAAGAAGGCAAGCATAGAACTACAACTGGATGTTTGGGTATATTTTTACTTGTGAAGTGAACACAGATACTGCACTTTTCATGTTAGGCCTGAGGTAGTTGGGAAAATTTAAGCAAACTCAAAGCAAAAGGACCTTGTCTTCACAAACCCTATTAATTGGCCTAGGCCTCAGGAAACTCATTTTAGCAGGGTAATTTTTACAACACTTGAAACTATGAGGTCGAATTAGGTAGTGATAGCTCAAAATTGCTTTTCAGGTGTTCCCAGAGCTCAGAGCCAGCGAGTTCATCTTGTCTTTGCAACCCTCAGTTTTCTGGGTCTGGTTTAGTTTCCTAGCCCAGGACCCCAAGACAGCTTATAAAACTGTCTGAAAATAAAGCCTTTTGGTTTACTCCCATGTATGCAGGAAAAAGGGGTTCTACGGACAGTCACCTCTCAAGGTGATCTGCTCATAAACGTCTAACTGGGCAGGTCATGGTGGGGAGTCACGCCCCAGAAGTTATAGGCCTTAAGCATATAACTTAAGCCAAGTTATCTTTGGCTTACACAAGCCCTGTCCATTGTTTCTGTGCATCTAGGTTAACACAGCTTTGAAATAAGCATAACCCAACACTGCACTTTGCCCTACTGATTGGTATCCTACGTCTTAACAATGATAAAACACGTCGTGAGTCTCAGTTTCTGCATCCATAAAACGGAGGCGAGGCACCTCACAGTGCTATTGCAGTAATTAAACCACCAAACCTGCAGGTAAATCATTGAACCAGGCGCAGGGCTTGGCAAGTTGTAAGCTGCCACCCCTACTATTCTTACTTACTATTAGGAACCATCCCCGCCCTTCCCCACCTCCACCCCCTCCCCAGCTAGCGCACGTCCCCAGGAGCTGGATCAAGTCTGAGGGAGGAGGAGAGCAGGAATGCGACACGGTCACTCCCACAAGCTCGAACCCCTACGAACGGCGGAGCCCTCGGGGTATGTCAGAGCTGAACCTGCCCCAACCCCTGCACTCCGGTCGCTGTAACGAGGCGCCCACTGCGGGGGTGCAGGCGGGAGGGGGGGGCTCCAGACCTAGCAACGACCACTTGCCCACTTTCGCTCCAGTCCTGTCGGAAATAGCCAACTCAGGCCGCCTGCCAGCTGCAGCAGGAGCCGCCCGCGGTGGGCGGGGCCTGGGGCGGCCACGCCCCTCACTTCCGGCTCCCATCCGGCTGGACCTGGCACCGCCAGGCGGCTCTCAGCTCCAGCCCAGGCTGCCGCGCCCCGCCCAGGCACGCCCTCCTCTTGCGTCACTTCCGGGGCAGCCCGGGTGGCCTGACCTGGGGCGGCTGCCCTGAGCTCTCTGGCGTCGGGTCACGTTGCTCCAGTGCCGGCCACGTCCCCACACCAGCGCGAGGGCTCTTCCCGCCGTTCCAGGGCCGCCGGGCCGCCAATGGCCCGCGGCGACCAGGTAAGGGGCCCGCGCTGCCGGCCACTGCCTTCCAGGGAGCTGTAGTCACCGCTGCCAGAACTGGCGTGGGGCTGACAGAGGGAGGTGTGGGGCAGGAGGATGAATGGGGACACGAGGGACAGTAGAGGGGGGCAAGAGAAAAAAATAAGTGGGGGCCCAGAGTGCCAGAGGATGAGGAGTGGAGGTGTTGGGGTAAGAAACATCCAAACCTGTAGAGAGAATTTTTGAGTTTATTGGAGCCAAGCTGACAATTTTCGGGAAGCAAAACCTTCAACGAGTTGGTGCTCTGCGAGTGGCAGTTTTGAAGCTCATTTTATACATCGGAACAGAAGTAGCTGTAAGGACGGTTACGTGAAATTCATTAGTGACAGATGAAGGGGGCGGGAGAAAGCAAAGCAGGGACATCTCTGGGACTGGATACGAAGTAAAAAGGAGAGACACACGCATTTCTTCTACATTGGTGGGTACAGGATAGCTAATTAACATTTACGGCTGCTAGAGAGGGTATTTGGGGAGCAAGACAACGATGAGGGGTTCGGTGGTCTTATGCTCTGGTGGGAGGTTGTGCCCTGATGTGTTGGAAAAGGAGGTAACTGACATTTCAAAGGTGTGTTATCTTAGATGCAAAATGACAGTAGACAGGCTCGCTTAAGGTATAAAGATTGACCTTCGTCCAGGAAGCTATAAGCCTAGGTAGGACATGACCACCCGCCATGGTCTGCTTTTAGTTAGGAATTTCTAATATCACATGAGGTTACTATTGGTCTCTGAGTTTACAGGGCCCGCCATGCTGGCCTCCCCTGAAGTCGTCAGGTTTAGTATGTGGCCCCTTTCCCGTCCACTTGGGCAAGTAACAGGAGAGGGAGGAACAGAAGGAGTCACTTAGGGGCTGAGACACCGATTTTTCCACGTCTGTGCCAGGATTGCCTAACAGGCAAAATAATGTCAAATTGACCTACGTTGCCAACAAAAACTAGGCCCTTGATCCGCATTTAATTGTGATACCCAAACTTCCAGAAACCTGGAAGCAAGCAATGTAATTAGGATACTACCCAGTGCTCCAGGTTCCCATCTGCCACAGGGACACATCCTTTGGACCACAGGACAGTGTCTATATACACAAAACCACAAGCTGTGTTCCTTGGGCTCCACTACCAAAGTTCAGCCAGGTGACGTGTCAGGATAGTATCTGTGGTTTGCCCAGTAGTTGCTTCCGCAGTCCCTACGCCTTGGTATGTACAGTTTCTCCAGCTTGGAGTAGGGACTGGGGCCACCTTGCTGCTGATAAATAAGTATTAACCAGAGTGATGGAATGTGGGGTAACGTGCAGTCCCCTGCTGAGCCTGAGAATTACTTGTGTTGGATCTTAGGAACCTGTGTAAGCCAGAAAAAGAATTAAGCAATTTGCGGTCTGATTTCATGTAACTTGCACGCAATACCCTGCATATAACAGCTAGGTTTATAAAAGAGTTTAAAAGCAAGCCCAGGTTGGGAACACAAGAAACTGGGAACAGGAGGTATTGAGGCATCACAAGGTCAACGGCCAGAAAAGGATCAGGGAGTTGACACCCAGGGCCCCAATCTGGGAGTGCCTTCTTGATGGAGTGCTGCCCGGCTTGTGGGGGTGCTGCCTCTTGTCTGCAAAACTTGTGGGGAGCTGACCCCTGAAAAGGGGAACTCTCAGCACCAGCTTAAACTGCTTTCCATCTGCCCTGGTCTCCCGCTTAATGCTAACTTTATTCTTTCTTGCTTATTCTCCTCCTGCCCCAGGGGCCTCTTGTCTTTCCATCTGTTGTGGTCTGAGACCTTGATCTGTCTTTGTCTCCCTGTACTAGACGATAATGAGAATAACTGGCCAGACCCTCTTTTAAGACTCACTGAAGCCTTTGCAGGGGAAACTATTATTTTAAATCTTGTGAATGGTTTGTCCATTGTGAGTCAACTTATAAAGTTTAGCACAGGTGCCCACACGTGCATCTTGACATTTAGACTATGCTGTTGGAAAGTGGAGGCAGGACTGTGCCAGATAGAGGACATCATGGGCCAGCGAGGGTCTGTACTTGGCTCTGCACCAGGGCGGATTCCTGCGTCTGTGGGAGTGATCGCCAGCCCCATGGCCGGGAGTATGAATAAGCAGTTACGGTAGTTAACTGAGAAACTTGTGGAGTTTTCCTGACATCAGCTTGTGGAAATGCTCCATCTGTCCACTCGCCTTTGTTCTTGTAACTGTGTGTGTGATTATTTGCACACATGCATGTGTATGACTGCATGTGTACACATGCGACTGTATGCACGTAGAGCGGTGAGCACGCGGATATGGGTGTGGCTGTGTGCACACACGTGGGACTGCACGCTCACACGTGTGTGCCTGTACATGCATGCATGTGTGTGCACGTGTGGGCATTTGTATTAGGAAGCAGGCCCACGGTGGTCCTCAGGCATCGGCACCTACTAATATCTGCCACTGTAGGAGGCGATGAGTTTCTCTAAGTTTCTCCTGAGTTTACATTAACTACTCATCAGTGAGAGAATCATTTGTGCTGGTTAATTAATACCTTTGTGTTACCTCTGTACTCCTGGGTTCCTCTAGTTTTGGTTGGCTCCTAGAAAAATCCATCTGCTGAGTCGTAAATCATGAAGTTTCTCTAAATTAAAATCTGTATCAAGAGGGCCTCCTGGGTGCCCTTCTGCCTGGTAGGTTAGAACACCTGTAGAAAATCACATTGTTTCTTTTCATTGGAGCCTTTCAGAAGAGTTTTCCAAAAGTGATACATGTTATTTAAAAACAAAACAAAACATCGAGATGTAACATAGAAAATAAAAATCACCTGCAAATCTATTCCCTGGGGATGACCCTTATTAACACTGTGGTATAAATCTTTCCAGATCCCTTGACACATCTATTGAAACAAAAACAGGCTCATTGTGTGTGTACTATGTGTGACCGCTTTTTTCACTTACTATTACATGCTAGGCACCTTCCCACGTCAATAAATAGAAATTTGTACATTTTTTAACAGCTGCCATGGTATTTTATATATGAATGGGACCATGTTTTACATAATCATTTCCATTTTTTTGCTATAGTAAATTAACTGTGATGGGCATCGTTGTAGATCTCCTTTGGACATCCGTCCAGTTGCTTCCTTAGAAGAAATTCCGGCAGTAGAAAGCGCTACATCAGAAGCTGTGGCATTGAAAGTTTTGATACATATTATCGTTTCTATTTTGGTGCCTCTGTCCTCACTGGATGTTTTTCCTGTACTTTTCCTAAGGAGTGCTTACTCTTTTTTGAACCCTAGATATGTCTGTTAGCGGACATCGGCCTGTGTCCCACGTGGGCCACAAAGCATGCCAGCGCCTGGGAGTGCTCCTCAAAGCTGCTCTCGCCTTCTGCAAAGCCAGACCTCACCTGGTGAGCACACAGACCTCACCTGACGAGCATACAGCGCCAAGCCTGCAGCTCTCCAAGGAGGAAGATGGCTCAGCCTGGGAGCACACTCTGAGCATCTGCCTCTGGTGAGTGTCTGAGGTCCTGCAGGCCAGGGCACCAGCTTGGTGATGGGACAGTGAGCTTGGAGAGAGCACCGAGGGGCTTTGCCAGCCCAGGAGGATCAGGGGGAAAGAAACGACAGCAAAGCCCAGAGGGCTGAGCTTCCAGTAACCAGCAGGGGCCCCGTCTGTGGCTCTTCACTTCAGAGGTTTTGCTTTCTGAGGTCGTCCAGGAGGATGGTCTATAGGTGGGGACAGATGGGGACTGTGTGGTCCTCTGTGGCCCACACCTGTGTCTATGACACAAATGCCAATCACCACAAAAGGTTTTCTCTCAGCCTGTGTCGCAACACCATAATACTTGTAGGAGACCCTCTTGGCGCACTGCCGGGGTGCTGCACCTCACTGATGCCGGGGGTGAAGGAGGTGCCTCGTAGCAGAGGGGACCCTGGGAGGAAAACGACCAGAGGCTGTCCCTGGACCAGGTATGAAATGGGGTCCGCATCTGTTCCAGGGTGAGGCGGGCAGGAGGAAACCCATTCAGCATATCGGGTCAGGTTCTCCCTGCCTCCAAGAGCTCTGAAGTTCACTGCTAGAGCAGGGGTGGGAAACTACAGCCTATTGGCCAAGTCCCTCCTGCCATCTGTTTTTGTAAATAAAGTTTTATTGGGACACAGCCACACACGTCGGTGTACACACCATCCATGACCCGCTACTTTTTTATTACAGCAGCGGACCTGAGTAGCTGAGGCAGAGACCGTATGGCCCACAAAGTCTAAAATATTTGCTCTCCAGCTCTTTACAATGTTTGCCGACCCTGCTCTAGAGATTTGTAGCGAGGGGACATTGAAGGGCCTAAGACCTGAGGTGCATCCAGGAAGCCCCTGGCACATTATCCACCCCAGCGGACCCCCGCTCCAGACCCAGGCCTGGGGCCATGTATTCAGCAGACGTGACTGGCCAGAAAGAGCCATTGAAATACACGTTTACCCAGAGCCTAGCTGCATGGCTTTGGCAGATGTGGGAGTGCAGCTCTGTGCCCAAGACTGCCTAGTTTTGATTCTTCCTTCTGGTGATAGTGTCTGTTTCTTCTCTCCCCACCCCACCCCCACTTGTTTCTGTCCAAACAAAGAATGCTTTTGCACTCTAGAAAACATATGCAAATCTGTGATTGGAAGGGCTGAGCAACTTTCTGAACCTGTGAGATACCGGGAGCCCTTCCAGACAATTCTGGAGGCACAGGGCAGTGTGAAGCTAGACTGAGGTCAGTGGCTCTTGGAAAGGGGTCAGAAGCCTCGTGGAATGAATGTGCCAGCCTTCCGGAAGAGCTTGTGCTCAGATGGATTTTCCCAGTCACGGGGCTGCCCCACAACAGTCCCCACTGGTCACAGGAGGCAGAAGGCCACTGTGTGGCCACCCCATGTGCTGCACGGGGGCTTGGGGCTAAGCCAGGCTCTGCTTGGGAACTACGGGTGTTTTGCTTGCCCAGGGGTGGGCGCACAGGGGAGAGACCTGTGGGGCCAGATTTTGAAGGTCACCTCGGCCGAGTGAAGGAGCCTGGGGTTCTCCAGGGAGAGGAAGGGGTTTGAACTGTGGAGGCAGGGTCAGTTCTGTGCGTTACCAAGATCTTTCTGGCGGGATGGTGCAGGTGGGTAGGGCCAGCATGGGGGTGCTGGAAGGTGAGTCATTTGAGACTCTTGGGGCCGATGGGGAGACAGCCAGCCTGTGGTGGTCACAGGGGCCGTCCTGGCTGCAGGATCATGGAGAGTAGGGGTAGCACCCATGCTGAGGTGGGGTGCCGCTCAGGACATTTCCACCCGGTGCCCGTAGGCTCCCTTTCATGACATCCTGTGGAACTCAGGGCCTTCACAATGAGGGCCCAGTGGGGAGACCGAAGGCCTAGGGTGTCTTCAGGCAGGATTTTGGAGACACCCTCGGGAGCCCCATCTTGTCACCTGCCCTCAGACTCCCAGCAGGCCTGCCCCGTGCCGAGATTGAGTGGTGAGTCACGAGACTAGACCTGACTGCGTGTGACCAGGCCATTGTCCCGGGAGAGCCTGGGTCTCCACAAGGGACTTCGGTAGTTAGGCCGGGCCGAGGACGGGATCAGGGCGCACCTAGAACGAGCAGGCCGTGAAGGGATGGGACACTTGAGGTCACTTGGCTGCTCGGCTGCCTGTTGTACCCCTGCATCAAGGAACCCCAGCCTGCTGGCAGGAGGGAAATACTGAGGGTAAGTGCGGGGAGACCCCGCGTACTCAGGGAGCCGGCTCTGGCTGGGCCCAGTCTTCATCCTGATGAGACTCAGCCACGGTGGCATCTCTGGAACTTTCTACAACACACTGTCTCACAGTGGCACTCCCCAATCCACCCACCCAGCTGAATCACCTGCCTCCTCTGGGTCCTTACAGTACCCTATCTTCCCCCAACCTCAGCCAACCATCTTTCGGTTCTTTGCCCCGAGAACCAGCCTCCAACTTAGCCTTCAGGACCTGCCCAGCTGCCATCTCCGTGCTTCCCGGCACTGAGTCACGCCTCTGCTCCATTCGTGCCAGCTGGCAATGACCCCTTTTCTGTGTCTCCCACTGGATGGCAGGCTCCCGGGAGGAGGGAGTTGTGTGGCTTTCATCTTTTTGTCCTAAGGGCCCTGCCTGGCACATGAGCAGGTGCTCGGAGTATTGGATGATGGCTTGGAGGATAGATGGATGGGTGATGGCTGGCGGGCTAAGTGGCATCTCCCACATGAAAGGTGTGGTCAGCTGTCACAGGGCTGCAGTGGGCCTGACCTGTGCCCTGCAGAGCACGGGACAAATTGAGGAGGAAGACTTGGCCAGTCTTGGTGATGAGCATGCCATGTCCTTCACATGTGACCAAGTCTTGGCCCTCTCTCTACTGCTCTTTCAAAGTTTGAACTCTGGGGTGGGACACTGGGCTGGGGGC